GACTTTCAGTTAAATAAGGCTCTATTATTTAATTGTTTCAGGAATGAATGAATGAATGAATGAAATGCATTTACACATTACCTTATCTCAATATGGATGGTTTTGTGATGATACTACAAATTTAAAGAAAACAAAAACGAAACCCAGCACTTGTTGGAAAGTAAGCAGTCGTTTTAAATACTTTTTCTTTAATTTCCTAATTCAAAAATTCAGGAGAACTGACTTAGACTTGGATCCCACTGTTTAAAATCCTTCTCTCTAACAAAACAATTAAGTAGCCAGCCTTATGAAATAAAGCAATTAAAAAATGTGCTGGAGTTAGGCCTAAGCCAGCTTAGGTTTAGCAGATGGTTTGCTTTTGGCGGTCACTTGGGGCGTGATGGTCTTGGGACAGCTCTCAGCAAAATGCCCTTGTTCTCCACATTTGAAGCAGGCACGACCCCCTGGCCGTTGATCTGGACTGCTCTCCCTCGGTTTACTGCTAAGCTTCCTGGATGACTGGCCCGATGCGACTGGTCCGACTGGCGATTTTCAGCGGGCCGGGACTTACTGCCAACCAGTCGACTTCTACGACCGCCTGAGTGATCCACTCCTCCACCATCCTCGGATTTCCTTTGGAAAATGCCAGCTGCCACAGTTCCAGCCTCAGACCCTTTTGGAAACTGTGCACCTTAACTTGTTCAGGCCAATCTCGGAGCTTCCCCATGAGGCGTTGGAACTCCATTGCATAGTCTGATACCGAGTGGTTTCCTTGCTTTAAAGTTTTGAGGGTTGATCTCACTTTTAGCATGGAACAAGGTTCCTCAAAGCATTTGCGCAAGGCCCACATAAATTTGTTAAATGTGGCAAGCTCCAGTGCTCTGGCTTCATGCATCTCTACCAGCCACTCTGCCACTTGACCCACTAAGGCACGGGACACGTATGCCACTCTTTGCGTGTCGTTCGGGAATAAATGACTGCAGCTTTCCATGCAGATTCTCTTTCCATGCGTCAGGAAACTCGCCAGTTCCTTTGGGTCTCCGCCATATTTCATCATGAGACCCCAGTGCTGGAGTGGATCACGCTGGGCTTGTGCTGGCTGGACCACCGCTTCCTCATCGCTGGAAGCTGCACCTCTCCCTCCCTTCTCACTACTCCTCATCTGAAAGGGAATCTCTGGCTGGCTGGCACCGATCCCAACTGCCCAACGATTTCCTCAGCTACTCTCCCAATAACTTCAATTCACCTCTCATGGAAGTGACATCCGCCTGTAAGTGGCTCACGGTTCCCTCCAGGGCGACGACCCAAGTTTTCTCCACCTCGCCGGCAGCCATGGACCATCGATCTTCGGGCTCCTTCTCCAGGAAAGAAACCTCCCAGAATTCCCCAGACTCTCAGGGTGGCTTCCACACCTGGCCCCGTCGCCGCCCTCTATCTGACACCAGTGTCAGCCTTGCCACTGATCTAGGTGGACTCTCTATCTCCTCCACTCCACCACTGGCTCCAAATTCGGGGATTTCTTCCTCCATTGGGGTCGACATCTTGTCTGACCCAGTAAAGTTGATACGTTGGATTCTCCTCGTCAAGCTTCCACTTCAGATAGAATCCAAAATGTGAGGACCTACAACGCTCAATTCCCAACAAAGATGACTCCCTTGAAACTCAG